AGATAGATAGATAGATAGATAGATAGATAGATAGATAGATAGATAGATAGATAGATAGATAGATAGATAGAGATACATGAGAGAGAGGGACAGACTGACGGACAGACAGAGATGAGAGCTTGTGATGCATCAATAACACAATGTTCAACTGAAAAATATTGTGGATGATCTTAGGCCAGCTTCTCCCTGTCCTATCTTGCAAGGAAAGAGTCACACACACTCACAATATCCCTACCACTTTATGAACTTTTGGGCAATGTGAGTTTCAAAGAAGGGTAGGAACATCCTTAAAAACTCATAATCATCTTATGGGTCAGATTGGTACTCACGTCAGTAGGGATTAAGTAATTCTGAAGGACAATGTCTCAGCCGGGTATCGTGGTTGTGTCGTGATAACGGGGTGCTCTCTGAACTTGGCTGTTTTCTTGCAGACATCTCATGACTCAACTAGGTAACATCATTATGGCTTTCGGGTGAATCAGACCCCAAACCTCATTGGCTCATACAACTTTTGGTCAAAAGCTTCAAACTTTCCCCCAGGTTGGGGGACAACAATTTGGAAAAAGCATTGCTTTTTCTTCTTAAGAAGAACAATATGTTCAATATTTTCCAAACTCATTTGCAGGAAAATATTGGCCCTACGAAGTTGCCAGTCCTTGGGACATCCCTGTTTTGGGTTCATGGAGCTTGGAATATCTAGTTTGTCTCCGTAATGTTCTACTTAAGAAAAACAATGAGAAAACCTCATTTCACTGTGGCATCTCAAAGAAATAAAAATTGGTACCAAAGATCAAGTTTACCAACAGACAAACTTGCTTGAAGAGTTTGCAGTTGGCAGGAGGTGAAGAAAGAACTCAGAGTTCCAAAGGAGTCAGGAGACCATGGTCCTTAAACTTACCAAATATCTGGATAGCGAGCAGAACATTCTGACTTGCAATGACCACATTTGAAGATAATTTGTTCCCTGGTAATCAGCAGTTATCATGTTTTTATGTCATGTAGATATCACAGCTGACTCATACTTACTTTGTCATAAAGTGACCTTTGCTGATTTATTAGAAAAAAAAATAAATTTCACATACTAGTGTCCAATAGCCCAAGCTAATTAAAGTATGTAACTTGACCATCCTCTCTACAAAATCCCCTGTAGTTTTTATATTCTCATTTTATTTCCCCACCCCCACCTAGTTAGCAATAAAGTCACCAGAGAAGTTGCTTGGTTTGAATCCTAGTTAATCATATTCTCCAGCCTTTGGAGAATAGGTGGATCCCCTCTTCTCTGTGGCAGCCTCTCAAATTTTGGAAGAGTGCCGTCATGTGATTACGGATGACATGATAGCAGTGTTCCAGTATTTGAGGGGTTGTCATAGAGAAGAGGGAGTCAAGCTATTCTCCAAAGCCCCCGAAGGCAGGACAAGAAACAATGGATGGAAACTCATCAAGGAGAGAAGCAACCTAGAACTAACGACAAATTTCCTGATACTTGCCTTCATAAGTTGTGGGTGCTCCATCACTGAAGTTTTTTAAGAATATGCTGGACAACCATTTGTCCTTAATATTATAGGGTCTACTGCTTGAGCAAGAGGTTTAACTAGAAGACCTCCAAGGCCCCGTTCAACTCTGTTTTCAATATTAGCAACGTTGACACTGTTATTCTGTATGAGTGATAAGGTACAAGAGCTTGCCAGTTGTGTCTAGACCAGGGGTAGTCAACCTTGGCTCTTTTATGACTCGTGGACTTCAACTCCCAGAATTCCTGAGCCAGCATGGCTCAGCTTGGAAACCTCTCCCTTTCCCCTCAGCATGGCTGGCTCAGGAATTCTGGGAGTTGAAGTCCACGAGTCATAAAAGAGCCAAGGTTGCCTACCCCTGGTCTAGACCATGAAGTTTAGTTGAATTTGGCTTTGTTGATCTTTAGATAGAAATTCACAGAGAAATCCCACAGTAGGATGCTAGGTTGGAAGTTGAAAAAAAATCCCCCCCAAAAGACCACTTCTATCTATAGAGCAACATAAAAGTACCTATAATAAGCAAATTAATTTTGTATTGCCATCAATCAATCATCAATCAATCAAACAAAAATCCTTTCCAACTCTGTTATTCTCTCCTTCTGTAGCTTAGTCTTAGATTGAAGGCAAACGAGGTCCAGGCAGAAGAAGAACATCGTGGCTTCAAAATCTAAGGGACTGGTTTGGACAAAACTCAGCTGCACTTTTTCGTGCGGCTGCTGATAAAAACAGGATCGCCAACATGATCGCCAACGTCCGATAATGGATATGGCACAAGAAGTAGCTTAGTCTGATGCTTTCTTTTTTTACCACAAGATGGCAGTAAACATCTGCAAACATCTGCAAACATCCAGAATCTTTACTTCTATAATATGGTGCATTTGTATCTGTCTGCGATTCAGATAGGCAAGAACAGACGTGACAGGGATTACAATTCCAGCGGTCACCAGGATTTGAAGGCAACAAAAAAGTCACAGTCCTATAAATTGTCACTGCAACAGCAATGGGAGCATTTTCGACAAACTGCAGAGAACATCTTTCAAGTGAAAAGAATCAACAACGGCAGGGAAATCTACAGGATTTGGTGAAAAGAGTCAGGATAGGGCCCGTCATGGCCGTTTTGGTTTATTATGGCAGAAAATGGTTTTAAAAAAACACACCAGTCGGAGCCCAGAGAGGAGAATACAATCCATACAAGCAACCAAAGCATTTGGTGAGAAAGTACAAATGTACAGAAAGGAGATCTAAATAATAAGGAGGAATTTCCTGACAGTTGGAATAGTTAATCAGTGGAACACTTTGCCTCCAGAAGTCATGGGTGCTGCAACATTGGAGGCTTTTAAGAGGAGATTGGATAACTATTTGTCTGGAATGATATAGGGCAGGAATATCTGGCTGGGGAATTCTGGGAGCTGAAGTCCACAAGTCTTAAAGTTTCAAGGTTGGAT